AAAAGATATTCGCACTTCCAAGCCAATTAAAATTAATTTTAATGAAAAAATGGTTAATCTCTAAATAATTGTTTCCTCTATTCTTATCATAGGCACTTAAAAGCCGTGAGATTATGCGGGAGGAAGAAATAGAAAGAAACAAGTCTTTTTAATCTGGGTAAATTAAAATTTACAGTTTAATTGTTTCCAAGGTAAGAAATTATATATACGATATTATTTAACGTATTGTATTATCAATGAATTTTCGCCTCTATGGATTTATTAGTAAATGATTTAAACAAATCTACTAATTGTAAACATTCAATCCATGTAGATTCCTTTAGTATTGTCAAGAGCATATGTTGCGTTTATCTTTCGTTCTCTAGATGGGCGAGATACTTATTTGAGAAATCACAAAACATATAAATAATATATAAAACTTACTAATAAATATCCATGATCCGAGACAAGCATGAAGAATGTGTGTTTTGATTATCCCGCTTCCGAATTTTTTCTAACATGTATATTATTATTCAACGCTTCACAACTATTTAAAAGAAACTCGGAAACAAATAACAAATCAAAAATGGAAATTAATTCTCTTCATCAATTTCTTATGGATTCATATACTTAAAGTAATTGTATTGTTGCTGCACCTTCGAGTTCCTTCTGGTTGTATAAACGAATCATTATCGGGCAGAAAAAGGGATTCTAGGTAATACTTCACCTAGCATGTAAAACTTTGTGGATTACGAAATTATGAAATTTTTTCAAAAGACACGTAAACTCATATTAAGTTTCGATTTGAATAAAGTTTATTCAAATTAAACCAATGACTTGTAATCAATTACATTGAATGATTAGATATATAATCATTTGAGTAAAATTATTAAGCTCAATAAAATAAATAACGTAGTTTAATAGTTTCGCTGCAGATAGATTTAGGTTATGGAAAGTTCAAATTTGCAATGATAGTCATAAGGAGCCAAGTAAACTTATAATCCATGATAATGATCAACTTCTCGCAACAAGGAAGATCAGTAGTTACTTCACCAACAAACCACTCGACAAGCACATCCACATCATTTCAAACCACCTATACCGCATATTAAATTTGATCTTGTATGTAGGATGGACTTTTGACGGTGTAGAATATCTAGACAAAGATTGTAATTATAAAAGGCAACATTATGATGAAGGTTGTCTTTGTATCAAATATCATTCGTTTACAGAATTTATATGAGTAGCAAGGGGATTGAAACCCCTGAAAAATTAATGGTATGACTTATTGAGAAGTTTGTGATGAAATCTATAAGTTGATTTTTTTGCAATGGACGAGGATGAAGGTAATCTTCTTCTCGTCAGTCTTTTTTTTTTTTTTATATCAAAAATAAGCCTTATTTTTGCCCTGCATGATGCTCAAATTAAATTTGCTTAGGAGTAGGAGATAACACATACGACCTCCAAAGGAAGACTCATGGAACTTCTGACTACAAATACCATTAAAACAGTTCCTTGTAATGATGATCTTGAGAATTTCCTCTGCTAGCTGTATGTGAAGAATGATGTTATGGACATATTCTGGGATCGAAACATCAAAGAGCTCTCGTTGGCGATTCGATACGGCTGTCTGCGTGGTTACTCACAATCTTCTTCACCTATACAAAAAGATGGAGAAGATCGAATGATTTATTTCATAACAGAAGAGGAAGGGCTTGTAGACGTTGCTCCACCACAAAGCCCCATGATCTGTTGTGTGAATTTTTTTATTCGTTTATATTCTAGCAACTGATTTTATGAATTTGTATAAACCAAATCTTCAATCCAAAAGCATTGTGTTTTAGTAGTCTAGAATGTGTAATACTTATTTATGAACAGTTTTGATGTAATCAATCGAATAGATAATCAATCTTATCAAGCCACTTATAAGGCGACAAGGGTATTGATTCGATCATGGATACCATTGTTATGCGTGACCAAATTTGTATATATTAATGCTAGTGAATGGAAGAGAATTCATTTGCTCATATAACAATTGTAAATTTCTTCTTGTAGTTGATGTTATAGAGTTAATAGAGACAGCCGATCCACGACGTTTTGAAATAATATTTGGAGTTTTTGAAGATAAAAGTAATTTTATGTCTTCTTCACTAATAGAATCAATGAAAAACGAAGGTGTAGAACGACGACGTGTGTTATTGATATATGATGATGATGACATTTTTTTAATAAATTTTTTTGATAACTATACAAAAATAAAATAAATATATGCGAGAGGAGAAGAAAAATAAGAAAAATTTTAGGATAAAAGGAATCTTTTATTCTATTTTATTTATAGAAAACAATATAATCGAATTGATGTAGATGATAATTTACGATTGTTTAATTGATTATGTTTCAACTGTGTAATACAAAATGAAATTCAAGAATTTAAAAATAATAGTAATGGTAATAATAGTAATAGGGAGAAATTTAGATTGTTTACAGTTTCGGAAAAACATTTGGACACACGCTTTTGTATTTTTGTGTCTTAGATAGATATTACTAACAATACTATCTATCGAATCCAAATATCGTCGTCAATTGTTTATATTTATTACTTTATTATTATTATTAATTAAATAATAAAGAAATTAATTTCTTTATTTATTATTATTATTAGAATCATGGAACATGGATTTTTTAAACCTAATCTTAATATGTAGTTAGTTTCATTATAATTGAATGATTACCCAATCAGAACCCGTATAAATTTATAACTTGCAATCCCAAACCCGCTTTTTATTAACGACGTCGTAACACGATTTTATTTATAAAATAACTTCTATTGCAATTGCTAATTACAAGAAAGAAAAATTTACTATAATGAGCTTTTTAATACAAGAGTACTATCAATTGTTTGTGGATTTAAATTTGAGCGAAGCTCATTAACTGTAAGCCCAGCTGCGCTAAACTCTTTTTCACTAGGTGCACCGGAACATGGAATTGAAAGATAATAGGCAGCAAGCCTTGAAAGTCTTGGATAAACATGTTGATGGTCTTTCCACCATTCTAAAATATTAAAGTCATCATCTTTTTGTATTTTTGTTGATAAATACAAATCAACTTCATCTTTGTCATCATCTTCATCATCGCTATCATAATATTTGCTAAAATCATCTAACTCTACATTTGAATTTGAAGTTGAAATTGTAGTTGATAATATTTCTTGCATAGAATCATCATCATCTATTTCATCTACATCATCATCTATTTCATCTACATCATCATCTACATCATCCTTATCATCCTTATCATCATCAATTAATATCAGCAGCAATCTTCATTATAACACTCATTCTGAATATAAACATCGTACAAAATTAACATCACAAAAATTATTAAATTTCTTTGGTGCAAAACCTCCAATTGACATTTGTGTAAGAGAAATAGAAAAAGAAGGATTGAAAGCGATTTTAAATTCCAAAATACCATTATTTTATTTCTTGTATTCATTATTGGAAGAATATTCGTCAGAAAATCTATTTTTTTTTCTAAAAGTTGAACAATATGAATCAAAACAATATGATAACTCAACGCAACAATTGGTAATGGCTCAACAAATTTTTGACACCTATTTAACAAGAAATTCACAGTTTGAAGTGAATATAGATGACAGAGTACGTAAATTAACAATTGCAGCAATAAAATCTGAGCGTGATTTAAGATATTGTTTTCGTGATGCCAAGCAAGCAGTATTTGTATTATTAGAGAATAGTTTCTCTAGATTCATTAGAAGTAATTTAGCTGATACTATGAGGAAAGAAATTGGCGAACATACCGCTCATTATTCTAATGAAGCTCGGGAGCTTTCTGTTGGTTGGCTATTTAAATATCTAGAAAAACTCGGCCCCATTGACGTAAATGGTTATGTTACTGAACATTTTAATAATCTTGGTAACAACAATAATAATACTAGTAATAATAATTCAACAAATTTTCTTGTACAAAAATTTTATAAATCAATTAATAGTAATGATTATAACCAGTCTCTACCATTATCACCTACCTTTTCAATATCACGTAAGAGAAATCTAATGATAAAAGATACGACATTGGAATTTATTAAAAATTTATTAGAAATTGACATTGAAGAATTACTTTATTATGAATTTCTACATAATAAGAATAATACCAATACCAATACCAATACCAATTATATAATAAATACCAGTAACCAAAATAATATTGGCAATAATACATTACAAAATTATCTAACACCAGAAATTGGTATTAAGAATTTTTCGAATATTATTATTGATAACAGTAACAATCAAGGATTTAATCAAGTTTTTGATTACGAGGGTTGGGAAATCGATAATAGTAATAGTAATAGTAATCATTATAGGTGTAATTACTCGGGATCAGAGAGAAACAACAGCAACAGTAATATTTATGGTGGTGCAAATGGAAAGAAACAGGAATTAAAGTATAAAAAGACAAAGGATTTAAAAGATCATTTAATAAGAAACTTTAGTTCAAAAAATCAAATTTAATTGGATAATGATCATAAAACGAAAAATTTACACCTTTTTGTATCAAAGAGTTTCCCCCGAGAAAAATATTTTTCAATCTTGTATATTTTATATATAGAAAAAAAAATTGTTAGTAAAACAAATTATTTTTTTATTATTGTACATATTGTAGATTAGATATGTTTCTTTATTGATGTTCTTCTTTATTAATTTT